GAAAGCTCCATCTCCCCGGCGACCAGCGGCCGGCCCCTGAGCGCCATCTCCTCGCCCACCTCTCCATTCTCCACCCCCGTCCACGGGAACCAGAGATCGGCCTCCCGGCTCAGCGCCGTCCTCCCGTCGCCGACCACCGCCGTGCGCAGATCGGCCTCCCTCGCCCTGCGCAGCATCTCCGAGAAATCGGAGTCGTCGGAAACCAGGAAGAGCCAGTCGACCCCTCTGGCCATGGAGTGGTGCACCTGCCGCTTCAGCGCCGCGTCCGCCGCCTGCGGCTTGTCGGCGACCATCTTCACGAACACCCCCGCGCGGCGCAGCTCCGAGGCCAGGCCGTACCCTACTTTGGGCTTGAGCAGGTCCCTCGCGGCCTCCTCGTACTTGGCGTTGCCGGAGATGAACCTCTCCCTGTAGCTGCGCCGCTTCTTGGGGCTCTTGAGGGAGCGCATGCGGGCGAGCTTCTTCTGGCGCTCGCGCTCGTGAAGCTGCCGGAAGTGCTTGCGCAGGTCGGCGTGGGTGCGGCACTTGCGCCCGCACACGCCGCAGACGTAGGGATCTGCGGGGGCGGGGGAGAGGCCCTTTCGCTCCATCTGCTCGAGCTGGCGACGCTCGCGGCGCTGCTCGAGGACCCACTGCGGGAGGTGGAGGAAGGCGTGGCGGTTGGCGTAGGCGGAGACCTCCAGGACGCGGCCGAAGAGACCGGCGAGCTGCCGGAGGGCGACGGCGGCCTCGTAGGGAGGGCCGCGCGGTGGCTTGTTGTCCAGGTCCCACAGCACCACCACCTTCGTCTCCTTCCCCTTCTTCTTCTCGTCCGCCACCGAGGACCACACACCGTCCCCCCCGCGCACCATCTCCACCTCCACTGGCCCCGCCGCCGCCGCCGCCGAGGAAACGGGGGGGAACTCGCCGGCGCGGACGGCGGCGATTCGGAGGGGACACCTCCCCCCCCCGCCGCGGAGGGCCGGAGGCAATGGCGGCAGCGTGTCCGTCGACCGAGGAGGGATCGGATGGAACGACGTTCGTGGCCCCAACAGCAGCGGCCTCATGGCGGTTCCGCCGCCGCCGCCACCAGCAGAACGGAAGGGACCGATCGATTCGATTCCCCTCTCCGCTCCTGCTAAAAAAATCTTCGGTTTATCCCTTCCCTCTCTAGACGCTGGGAAAATATCCGCCCCCGAGAGGAAGGGAGAGAGAGAGAGAGGAGAGAGATGGTGGATAACAGTGTACGGCTCTGTCGACCATCTCCGTTAGGGCATGTCGGAACTCGGCGGCCTGCGGAGATGGGAGATTTACTATCCTTAACCATATACTTTTTAATTTATGATTTTACTCCTTTTTGTTTTATAAAAGACCCGAAGATCTAACGGCCCCCCCTCCGCCACGCAGTTTCAGGGCTGATGTCGGGCTTTTTAAGACACGGGAAGGCCCGGCTCGGTTCGCTCCGGCCCGTTGGAGCTCTTCTATGGAAAGGGACGGCGTGGTGTATGAACGGTCAGCGCGGGCACTGAAGAAATGAGGTGGATTTGAAAACAATAGGGGGAGGGAGGCGCCGTTCACGAGGAGACTTTCTCCCCTCCTCCCAATTCTCTCTTCCTCTCTCTCTCTCTCTCTCTCTCTCCCGCTCTACCCTCTCTGTGGTATAACTCACCGGCTGCCGCCGGGGTAGTTCTCGCTCGGTTTCTGGGCAGTACCTCCTCGGGCGGCGAGGAGAGCCGCCCCCTTCTCTGTCGGCTCGTCAGCGGGTGCTAGGGTTTTTCTGAAAACCTGAGGTGGGATAGGGGAAGCCCCCGCGGGGCTGCCATGGTGTCTAAAGCCTCCTCCTCGGCTAACGGCGGCAAATCGGAACCCCCCGCTTACCGTGAGGTGCGTGCCGCCACAGCCTGCTCCGGATCCATCTTGCTTTGAGCTGTTACTCCTCTTCCCCATCTCTTTTGCCCGGATTTTGGTCGCTGCTGCCGTTTTTGGTCGGGGATCACACGTACGAGTGAGTTTTTTTATAATGTGGGCTACAAGGCGCGGGTTTTATGCCATTTGCCATTTGGCAACAAGGTGCATTGCCCTTCTGGGCTGGTCTTTGGATCTTCAGAACACGAGGGAAATTGTTCGGTGCTTTGATCGTGTAGTAGCAGTGCGATTTGTTTCTGCATTGGAGTAGTACGTCTCCTCAAGGAGCAAATATAGTCTGCCTTTTTTCTGATGAAGGGAAGCGATGCTCCTTGTGGAAAGAACACCCCAATATTCAGGTGCACCGGAAAGGTTTTGTATATTAAGTGGAAGGTCATCCAATTTGGAAAAAACATTTAAAGCCGTTGGTTAGAAGGAAAATGATATATTCTTCTGCTGTCGATTTTCTGTGCATAGTTAATGGCACTTTCATGTGTGCCAATGACTTTTGATGAGATTTGGAACAGAGCGAAAAATCATATGATGGACCTATTTTCCTGGTCGAACTGAAGTTCCATAATTCCCAATGAAGATGTTTTTTTTTGTATATAAATATTTGAGAATTATGTAACTGGTACATGGATTTACGCTTTGATCTGTGTTCCTCTCTTTAATTATTTTTTCATTGTTGAAAAGAAAAAAAATATAAGGTGGCGGTTATGTGCAATTACTCAATCGAATTTTTTTCGAGAAATACTTAACGCAGCATGTGGGGGCTTTCCCATTCTCAAGGCTCAAACAAACATGGTCGACAAACTATTAAAAAAAGAATGAGGAAAATAGAATATAATTATGATAAAAGATTTCATATGGTTGATTGCTACCTTCATCCGCAGAAGACGACGAATTTTCAGCATATAGTTTAGAAAAACACTGTAAATATCCACTTTCTTTTAAGGCTGGCCGTGATCTTTTTAAGACTATAGCTCACTTCAAAACTCTAACCTTGATAAGCTATATAAATAGTGGATGTCGCTCGGAGCTATTGATGGTGTTAAATTCGGAGCCATTTCTAACTGAGATGTACAACTACTCTTGTTCGCTATAGGAGTTTCAAATGGCTTTGTATTCGAAACTCTTACCAACTCTAAACCTCCATGTATCATGGTCCACTATTTGATCTGATCTCTATTTGAATCAGCAAATAGATTCGGGGCACACAAAATTGTGTGCACACAATTGTGTGCCTACTTCGTATTCGGGGTACAGTATGTATAGAAATATCTTAATTGTGTGCTGTAAACCAATTATGCAGAGGTATGAGATGTAAACTAGCCATTTAGATGCAGTCGTAGTGAGACGTTTGTTTATGAGGAATTATGCATGCGGTCCACTTATCAGCTTATCAACTGCTTGGATTCAACTCAATAAATGTGCAAGTTTTGATTCAGAGTCGTCTTTATAGGTTGAACTTCGCCGCCTGTGATTTAGATTTATAGAAATATGTAGAAATGCATATCTTATGCTTACTGTACTATTACTGTATTAAAATTCAGTGATAATGGACATCATGACTTGAATTTTCTTATGTTCTACTTTCGCCTTTTTTAACAAAATCATGGTTCTCTAAAAATTGAAGGTAAAAGTTTCGTGTTCCCGCATTTTTTTCTGGGTTCTGGAATATTATTGTATGATATCCTTGATTCTTGGATTTCATTGATGGGGTATTGGTTTACTTCTCCATTTTAAGCAAAAAAAGGATGAATTTTAAAAAATTTCTGTTTCATATGTTCTTGTGCGAACTATTAATTTTTCGTGAGGCCCCTGAATTATGGTTTCTACAAATTCAGTATTAATTTTCTACAATATTGTTGTTGACTGGGGTGTAACTGTTGTTTTTTTTTTTTTTTTTGGCTAATTTTTGGCAGGTGTCTGAAGGACAGGAATCAATTCGTGCATCAAAGGATATAATGTTGCTCATTAATTCTCTGAAGACGCAAGTTATTAATGACAGATACAGTTTTATCAAGGTTTGTTCTTCTATCTGCGAGGTTGCTGGGTCCAGACAAAGGGATTCCATTCACAACTGAGTCAGGCAATTTGGAGGCCAGTTCTTCATGGAATTGGTTGATTCCGTCTCACGTTAGCCAATTTTTGTCCCATCTTATGTGGTATTAGTGGCCCTATTGGCTGTCCAGATATCTTGTAAGAAGGGCCGAATTTATTGACTTTGGTGATCCAGCTCTGAGCACTGTGGATATACACCTCTCACATTTCTTTTTGTTTTTTAGTAATTTAGAGTCGTAGAAACATTATGGTCAAATCATCATACGACTTAAATATTCTTGAATTGCAAGGGAAAATCTGACTAAAAAAATTGATAGTTTTAAACTGTTTGAGTATGCTTATAAATCATAACCAAACATGAGATTTGAATGGAAGTCTGTTAAAATTACTATGCTAATATTTTTTTTTATTTTCTTTGTGGATGCTCTTCTTTGTAATTCTTCAGCCATCATCTTACAACTCGAGGATACAATTTTGCATCCATTTCATCACAGAATTTGTGACGAACCTGTGCTGCTTGCTTTGTTTATTTTTTCAGAAAAGAGTGGAAGAAAACATGCAGAAACTATGTGGTGTCACAAGTCATGTGTACTCTTTGTCCAAGTCAAGACAAAAGGTGATAAATGATAGTGATACAGCTCCAGATTTATTGACTAAGAGAAAGGAGGATGTGCTTTGTACCTTAAATGGTTTTGACCAAGCGAATGGAGAGAATGATAACGGTATCAACCATGACGATAATTTGCATACGTCTACAACTGTTTCGTCAGGTAACAATTATGGAGGAAAGAATGCTTTACGACCCATAAAGATCCCTGCAGTGCCTCAACTTCCTCCTTATACAACATGGGTTTTCCTGGATAGGTGAGGTTTTTGAAAAACCATGTACAAACATGATTTATCTTCTATGAGTTCGCACCAAGAATAGTCTTGGGGAGGTTCTATTCTCTTATCATGCTGGGTAGATTAATTGAGAAGTCAATTGGAATTTCGTGTTGCTACCACTGTCTTCTTGACATGTATTCTCTTTAGTTTTCAATTACTTCTATGTTTCAAAATCTTCAACATCCTTCAAAATTTTCTTTTCTATTTCAGGTTTGTGAACCCAATGCACATAGAGAGACATTACAAGAAATTTGTTCGGTTTTCCAGAAATTGTTAGCCGGTGCCAATTTATATTATTCCTTTTAATTAAAATTACTCACTAAGAACTAAATTTATGATCATGCAGATAAATTGGAGTGATGGGATGGGACTGACTGATTGAGCTTTTCTTCTTTGATGATGTCTTACTCTCTAAGTTCAGCAATCAGTAGTATGCTGTGTACACATAATTAATTTATATCCTAATTTCTGAGCTATCTCCTTCATCGGAACTGTCACTTTATTTAAAACCTTTGATGTAATTAACACTGGTTGAAGTGACGTAAAATGGAGAAAGCTCTGTAAGGAAATTGAATACTTCTTTTCTGATATGACATTTTCATTTGATGATTTTGTCCTGAATTAGATGTATTTGTGCTGTAGGGATTTTTCTTGAAGGCAGATATATGTTGATTCAGTAATACTAATCACATCAATAAATCTGAAAGTTCTCTATAAAACTTTAATCTGGTTAGGTTAAAATCCGATTCTGACGTTGTGGACTGTAGAACAGCTCTTTCTATTTGATTAATCCACAGCAACTGAATAACATTCCGAAGGAATGCTAAACTAATGATTAGATTGATAATAAAACCTTCGTAGTTGAAAAAAGTTGAAAGTTGATATGAGTTGCACATTCATTCAGAAAATTGTTACGCTTAAAATATTGTGAAAACATATTAATATAGTCTCTTGTTGTGCTAGGAATAACCGTTAGAGACAAGGCTATAGCTTTTTGATAGTGCGAGTCATTTTGTAGCCTAGTTTTCATTACCTTGTATTCATGCTAAATTTATTTTCCATGAATCAGAGTGAATTCGGACTATAGATATCCATCTGAAGTTTAAGAAAGCTCATAATGCCTCAGTAAACGATCCTTGCTAATTGTAGTCAGTTGAAGATGGTATGTGGTGAGGAATTATGTCAATATGTATTGTTTCATTGTTAATAGAAGCTTAAGATATGGTGACACCATTCGTTATATATATACAGATATTTCAGACTTCCATTAGAAGATTGTTTTGTGTACGTGACACATAGGATATTGCCCAATACTGTAGCATTCCCCAATCATCACTCCATTCTTGGCAGTGAAAAGAAAGAAAGAAAGGCTGCCGGCAATCATGGTGGTTGTGAACATTTTTGGAGAACAATTCTTTTTTTGTTCTGTTTTCCTTTGTTGTTTCTTCCCTGTCACTTCATCTTCTTTCTCTGCCTGCTGCATCCTTTTTTGCTTTTTGACCTCTTCAGCTCTTCTAGCTACAAGAGGTAAGTTTATCACGTTTATCTTTTCGTTTTTATTTTATTACTCTAGGAACCATGATTTGAATTCAAAGTCTATCACTCTACGAAATTGATGGTAGCTTTATGATGGTGCTGAGTGCGTAAAGGGATATGGAGACTTATAGCAAATCTAGGATTATGATATCTTCATATGTTACTGTAATCGGATAACAAGATGGCATAAAGTTTTTTTTCCTTTTCTTGTGTTACTGTAATTGTTTACTGTTCTTGGTTGCCAATGCCATTTGCTAGCGCAGAGGAAAGGTGAAAAATGTGCACCAACTTTGATTCATGCATCTGATATTCAGACTCCTTAGTAGGCAACTGGTCACATATAAGGAAACGAGGTGCTTGTGAATGGATTGAGGTGTCATTTATGACGTATATTATGTAAAAAAGAAGTTTTTTTGTCTTTTGGTGTGGGTGTGCCGAACACTGACATGCCGCTCTATCCTTGTTAATGATAAACTTGTCTTATATAACGTTTCATGTATCATTGTACTTGAAGACTAATGGTACTTAGTTGAATCATCTTTCTGCAGGAACCAAAGAATGACTGAAGATCAATCTGTTGTCGGTCGAAGAAGAATTTATTATGATCAAAATTGTGGTGAAGCACTAATCTGCAGTGACAGTGAGGAAGAGATGGTCGAAGATGAAGAAGATAAAAAGGATTTTGGAAATCATGAAGATTATGTTATTCGGTTTGTGAAAACATAAAGCTATTGAATCTTTTGAGATTCTGTATGATTTTAATTTTGTGTCCCACCTAATTTTTGCTTGTGCCTCCACCTATTCACTGATTAATGTCAAGTTATCTTTACATTTATACAAGTCGAAACTGGGTGAATTCATATGCATCAGTCTAGCACTCTTTTTTTGAAAAGGCCTTACTGTATGATATTTGCTTTCTGAAATAATTGTTCGCTTGGTTAAAAGTAGCAATGTGGAAAATAAATTTTAGCGGCTTGAATGCTCAAGAACTGGTGCTAATGGGAATCAAGAAACTTTGGTGACATGCAGCTAAATACATTTAGGCTTAAATTACTTGTTGGCGTATGTTCAGGTTGGCACTGATAATTCCGTCCATTTCATCTTGTAATTTCTGAGTTTTTTTCTGGAAATATTGTTAGACTCAACTGGTTTGCATCAAAAGCTTGCACAGCGTGAAATGACGTTTGTCTGTCCATCCACAAAAAAATCAGCATAAATACTAACGAATAATGATCAGTATAGCAAATTATGGCACGAAACACGAACAATAACATCTCACTGAGCTTGATGAATCTCAACAGTCTTCGCAATTTTGTTAGGTTTTCTGGAGGAAGTGAATTTTCGATATTTACTTGTTGTTTGACTAATTTATAGACTAAATATGGAGCTATCCTTTTTGTATTGTATAGGCCAAGCTTTAAGGCCGGTTAAATTTGGGTAGTTATATCAGTTGGGGATTTTAAGATGTCATCATGGAGCTCAAATTTGAGAATGCGACATAGCTCATTAACATGCTGCGTTTCCAAGTTTTTTCCTGGAAATTCTTCAAATTTCTCAACTTTTTAGTGTCGCACAACTCATAGCATCACAAATTCTTGCGTGAAGATACAATTGAACCAATGCAATTTTTTAAATAACTGACATAGGCAAAAGGCATTGATATTGTTTTTTTTTCATATGAAGTCAGTGACGTTTCAAAGGCATTAATACATAGGTACATTGAGTTAGTATCTGGTTCCTTATGATAGAAAGGATTTGTAGATCTTTTGCTATTCCTCTAAGCGAATATGAATCTCGAAGTGAACCTAGGGAAACTAGGAGATTCTGAAGAATGTGGGAGGGCAAGAGTAGACCCATTTACCTGTTTGATCAAACCGAATAATATTTAGGTTTTGTTGTTGTAGCAAATTATTGATATTCTTTCGTAATAATTGTTATTGATATTCTCCCTTCCATGTGTTGAATTCCGTTTCAATTAGTTACTTCTGCCTTTTGGGTTGTTTTCTCCCGCTTTTTCCAACTTTGTAAAGTCTCTGAAATGAAATTTGAATAAACGAGATGAATTCATGGTGTGGATGGGAGAAATTAGAAAGGCGTTCTTTGCATGTTGCAAGAGGTGCTTTGAATAGTCGCCTGGCTAACGCATTTAGGAATATTTGGCTTGTTGAGCTTATCAAGTTCGTGCAATTTTCTGGTGTTTACGGTTTCAAATGTTAATTTTTCATGACATATTTGTCATCATCCACCAACTTATTTTACGTGCATACTGCGAATTCTCGTTCAACATGTTTCAGGATGACCTTACAAGAAAATGGTTTGTCTGATTGCGTGGTAGATTCCCTTGCTCAGGGTTTAGAAAGAAAACCTTCTGAGATAAAGGTATGGTTTCCTAGTTAAATAAGAGTTGCTCAGTGTTTAGTTCTTCCATTGAGTGATTATAAGTCACCATACCTTGATTCTATTTTCTCCTCATTTTACTGTAGTAGAAAATTATATGTAATGTAAATTCGGGCTTCATTAGCTTCCCATCCACTTCTGCTGCTGTTACTGAGTGTGAAACAACATCAAACGTCTTGAACAGGGAAGATGTGAAAGTCTTCTGAAGTCAGGAAGCCCCAGCGACTGCAACAAAAAGGGGAATTGTGGAACGGATCTGCAGATTGATGGGAAAGATTTAGATGCAGCACTGGATTCCTTTGACAATCTTTTCTGCAGGCGATGTCTGGTTTGTTCCATCGATATGTTCTATTTCGGTTAGCATACTGTCTGACTGAACTTTTGGGATGTTTTATTTACTGAGGTCAGTATTCGTTTCTTCGTCCCCATCGCAGGTCTTCGATTGTCGACTGCATGGATGTTCTCAGGAGCTTGTATTTCCTGTAAGATGCTAATTCCACGTCAGATTATTTCCTTGCAAGCATTGCATGCCTTTTGAATTGTTTCCTTTTCTCTATAAGTCAGAGAAACAAATCCCGTGGAGCAATTCTGATGAAGGAATTCCATGTGGGAAAGATTGCTATCGGCTGGTATGCATTTTACGTTTAACATTATGCACAAGAAAAAAAAAAAGCTATGCTATCAGGTGTATTAGTTTCCTTTATTTCTGATTTGTGTAGAGTAACGTTTGGTTGTATATTTCCTTTATCTGTTTTCCAGGCGTCAAAGTCAGAAACCGTTGCTACTGTTGATTCTCCCGTGGCTCATCATTGTGGGAGCCAAACGCATTCATCCCTTGGTGCTGGAATGCAGGTGTCTTTGAGAAAGAAAACAGTTAATTCGTCTGTTCTTAGGAGATCGCAGTCTCATCAAAGTGGTGAAAGTGCTTCCAGTCCAAAAGTTCCTTTGGAGAGTAGTGAGTCAGAAGTAAGACCTAGCGATGACAACTCCATTCACGAATCCTCATACCCATCAAAGCCTAAACATCGAAAAGGCAGTGGTCATAAAAGGACCAACAAAAGAGTTGCTGAGCGGGTTCTTGGTCGTATTCATAAAAGGCAAAAGAAAATGACCACTTCGGATACTGATTCAATTGGTGCTGGCTGTCTTCGTCCCAGAGATATGAAACTTAGGTCAAATTCGCACAGGGGAAAGAAAAATGCAAGTTCTTCCCAAAAGAAGGCTCCAAAATCTCGGATAACAAGAAAATACTATAAAAAGGAAACATCTGTTGAGGGAAAAGCCAGTTCAGTTTGTGTTAAAGTTAAAAAAGAAAAGGATTCTGAGAAGATGGACTCTCCAAAGGCAGTCGGTGACAGAAGTTCGCACAAAGAAGAGTTAATTGATGAGAATATCTGCGGACATAAAGCTGTGGGCAATACCTGGAATGTCATTGAGAAAAGTTTGTTGGAAAAAGGCATTGAGATTTTTGGAAGAAACAGGTCAGTTTGAGCTCAGATTTTTGATAGAGCACCTTGATGTTTGGTCTTCAGAACTTGGTGTTCTCTTTTTCATTATACTGTGCGATTTTCTGTTATATTACATGTACATAATGGTAAATTCTTATCATGGATAATCATTACTTTGGACCGACAAGCAATTTGTGGAAGTGGCTGAGTCGGAACAATAACATTATTTTTGTTTTCTGCTGCTAACTATGCTTGCGTATGTTGAATGACGGGATTGGAGGTCACAGTCATGCGCTAATGTTGCATGAGTTATAACAGTCTGCAGAATCTATGATAATCTGTCTTGACCTGTTGTCTATAACAAATTGTGCACTCATTTAACAAATATTTACGATTCACGTGTAATATACTTAGTACAATTCTGTTGCAAAGGTTTTGCTCTTCGATCTAATTCCTTGTAGTTCATTGGCTGGACAGCTGTTTAATTGCCAGAAACCTTTTAAGTGGTATGAAGACATGTTCAGAAGTCTTTCAGTACATGAACCTCATTGAAAATAAAGCTACGTATAGAGCTGGCGATGGAACAAATTCCCATGCTGAGGGCCATAACAAGGTTGACTACAGGGAGACTGGTTTGCAGTCTTTCTGTTTTTTATCATATAGCTTTGTTTAATCTAGAATTGATAAATGTTTTTTTAATTGACATCCAGGGTGGTGAGTACCGAAGAAGATCAAAATTTTTGAGAAGGCGAGGTCGTGTTCGTCGTTTGAAATACACTTGGAAGTCTGCTGGGTATCATTCTATTAGAAAACGCATTAGTGAGAAAAAGGATCAGCCATGTCGACAGTACACTCCCTGTAACTGTAAATTTGGTTGTGGAAAAGATTGCCCTTGCCATTTGAATGGAACGTGCTGTGAAAAATATTGTGGGTAAGGTTGTTTCTTATTACCTACAATTATATTTGCTCAAACAAACAAACGAAGCCAAAAAAATTTATCCAACTTTTCAATCATGCCAATTTTTATGCAGAATTTTCGCAATTGTAGGTGCAATTTGAACTTGTTTTGCGATTCCTTTTGACTTAGCTCGACTTTATCACTGGGACACGGTTAACTTTGCATAGACGATTAGTGCATATTGACAATACGACAGACCTAAATATAGAAAAGTCCCTAAGTGGTCATATGTCTTCTTAGAGCAACGACATTATTGTGTCCTTGAATCATGAAAGGATTGTAATCGTAAGGAAAATGTGATGACAATATCTTCATTAAAGTCAGTTTAGGTTTTTGCTTATTGAATGATCTACGTCAATTGATTTATGATGAATTACGATTTGTGCTTTGTGTGGGGTTACGAGGCAGGCTATATCATTATTCGTATACTGATTGGTCTTCCAGTTCATCCATGAATCGAACCAGCTTCTTGCAGATGTAAGAAATTACTGAGTCCTGCTGTGGTTTTATGATGTATGGTGTCCAGTTCATGAGCATACCAAAGGAACGTAGAGAAGTTCCTTTAGCATTTCCTCGTTCACTTGATTGCTATGAACATACCAAAAAATGTAGAAGTTATTGATAGTAGGTTAAGTGCTAATTTTATTAAATAAGGTAATTCAATAGGATGGTCAAGGCAGTAAACAAGATTGCTAAGATGCTGATGTGACTAAGTGAGCTCCTTTTACATGTGTTCATGCTGTGCCTTAAAACACGAACTTCTTGCTGTGTTGACTGACCCTAAAACTTTCCTTATATATGATTGATACAACTTAATGGTGAAAGGACCCTAGAATTGGTTCAGCGTGAGGAAGAGGGGGGCCAGTACTTGTTTTAATCTGAATCTTGATTTCTGGGTGTCATGCTCTGTTGTCGATTATCACTTTTTGCTTGCATTTAAAGGATCACTTCATTTTTTGTATTTCCGATTTTTCAACACATGATAATTAATCTCGTCTTTATATGAAGGAATATTCAAGCCACAGAAAATCTATGTTTTCTGTACACGTTTCTTATTTCCCTCTTCTTTCTATCCTCTTTCTTCTGTCTTCTGTGGATCAAAGGAGGATCTCGTTCTTCAGGCTTTTACATGACGCATCAAAAAGCCAAGCCTAGCTTGTCTATATTATAGGCTGAGCTGGGGCAATTTGATTTTGCAGCATGCTTTCGTTTTTCCTTGAGATCTCTATATTCCACAATTTTTAAGGCGTTGTGTGTCGAATTTTTTTATGGGTATAGCTTCTGTAGCAATGATAAATTGTAAGTTATTTGTCAACCTCAATGTGCTACTATCGTTACTGAGTTTTAAAGGGTTTTTTCCTTGCGCTAGCCATATTTTATTGCACTCTATACTTAATATATATATATTTATTTTAATGCAGTTGCTCCAAGGCTTGCAAAAATAGGTTTAGGGGTTGCCACTGTGCCAAGAGCCAGTGTCGAAGTCGTCAATGCCCGTGCTTTGCTGCTGGTAGAGAATGTGATCCTGATGTTTGTAGGAACTGCTGGGTTGGGTATGTCTCTACTTCAAAAACCTCTTCTAACAACTTTCTCTTGCCTTATTGAGGCTGGCTTATTGATATCTGTATTGTAATATTTTTTCCTGTCGCCTATGTTCTTTCTCTTCCTTTTATTTGTGTTCTTTCACTTTTCAAGCTTAGTGGTCTATTGCTCTCGCCGTCTTGATGTAGTTGGTAATGTAGTACAACTGCAAGGCACACACCTCTGTAGACTTTGAAACTTGTTCCTGAGTTATCTAATATATAATTACTTTAATTCATTTTGAGATCAAGGTTATTCATCATTGATTTCAAATGTAATGCACAACCATTCCCAAACAGTAATAAATAAGCTGGAGTACTGAAATTTAAGATCTTCTTCTTCCCCTTATTAGTTGACGAATGCTCTACTGAGTTTTTTGGTGAAGTGTGAAGTATGTTGTGTATGCATAAGCTATCTTCCCAACCCATTCCCAAGTGCCTACACTCCCTTTCCTTTGGATACATCTTCATGCTTTTGGAATTATTAAAATTTTAAGTATTATATTTAAGGTACGGATTTATGTCAGGATAATTATGGAGAGGGCATAATGAAAGGAAAATGGAGAAAGAGTGCGAGTTATTCAGGAAGAGAAGAGCTATCAGCCACATGATTCAGCTCAATCTCTACTATGCATTCGTGAAAGACCTCTGGATGTGGAAATATTTTTGACGTCTGGATTGTGAAAACTGCTAGACAGAGAGTGTTGAAAGTAGGTCAGGAATTAAGGATAGCTCAGAAATTATGTCCATAGAACTGCGAGTTATTTAATGGAGGGTAATGGCACTTATACACCCTTTATGGGTTGGAGAACATCCCACAAAGAGGGATTTTAACGCCCTGGGATCTAAATGTCCCCCCTTATGTCGACCATAAATTTGAAAAAATAATACACAACGAAATAATCTAGGGACAAGATTATTTGTAATTTTTAGGTTTGAAAAGAATAAGGATATTGTTATCATTGAGTTCTTGGATCCTTAGGCTTTAGGAAGCAAACGGTTTATGGGATGAATGGCCATAATAACTGCTTTTCTCCAAAAAGATTTAGGCACATGTTTTGGAAAAGAAGGGCCTGGGTTGCCACAAGAAAATGACCATTTTTCCTTTTTGTTACTCTGTTTTGCTGTGATGTATCGACACACAATGGCTCATGTACTATGCACTCTGCTTGAAAGTATGAAGTTACGATTTTATTGAAATAGTCCTTAGGCATTGTTCTAAGCCAAACTTTTTTTACACGGAACAAAACTTTGGGAGAATAATACTGACATCATATTGATATTTGACCAGAAAAATCCGAGTAACCGAGCAGAATCATCAATGAATGTCACAAAACATGTAGGCCCAGAAACATTAAGAATGATTGAAGGACCCTAAATATCACTATGAATACAAAAGAAAGGAATATTTCTTTCATTACTGTCTGGAAAAGATACATACTGTGTTTTGCAAGTTTGCACACTTCACAATGAAAATATTTAGAGCTTAGGTTTTGAAATAAAGAAGAAAACATACTTTTAATAACCCTAAATGAATAATGCCCAAATCGGCTTTTGTGAAGTCTAATTCTCTCATTGGATGAACGTAGATCAACAAAATGTGGTAGATCGCACTTTGCAATGTTTGATTAGTTTGGCGCTTCAAGGTAGTGGATTCCATTCTATTATTTAGCTTGTCCAATTTTCGTCCCCGAATTCTTACCATGAAATACACAACAATTACGATGGATAATCACTTTGCAATGTAAATCTACGGTAAGGTCTTTGATAGACACACTGGGTTAGTGAAGGACTTATTTTCACGTCTCCCACACCTGCTACAGTTGTCAAAGAAGACAACTTTTCCAGAAGTTGTCAGTGAGTGGGTCATGTCCTACCCAAGGCATTTAATTCAATAGAGGATGGAAGTTCACCTGAATATCATAATAAAAAAGAATCGAGTTTGTTAATGAGAGATCTCACCGTCTTGACATGTTCTTGGTTGATTCCGCCTCTAGCCACCATAGCCCAGCTGTCTATGCTTTGTCGTCCAAGCATCAAGCCTCTCTCCGATTGTGTTATAGCGATCATCCTACATTTTCTGATGTCTATAGAAAAACTGACAGCTATTTGCAGCAAAAGGATTGTTGGCGTTTAAAGGCTGAGTGTACCAACAATGAAGGTCAATAATCAAGGGAGAAATTAGGTTCCAAGGCATTAAAATGCCTCTTTGTGGACTACTCTCCAATCCTCCCGCAAAGTAACTCCTTTGTTAAGCCTTTATCCAAGTCCGTGCCAGATTCTGAACCTGTATCTGAGCTCATGCTGTGAACGGAAAAACCCTAGGCAGGTGACTGAGTGCAGCTGAAGAAAGATTATCCCTCACTAAGTCTAACTAGGCCTGGTTTATATGCCAGACCCATAGTCCAACAGTGAAACGGGCTGGTCCGACAGTGAAACAGTAACAAAAACTGGTCCATTCCCACAGTATCATGTGGATCTAGGGTTAATATGAAGTTCTCTGTTCAATGCGTCATTCAAGCATCTACTTTTCAGTCTTGCTTATGAATGATATTATGTGTGGCACTCATTTTCTGGTGATGCTCGCGGCTAAATGGAGCTCTTTCTCATAGGTTATCATTTTCGACTTTTATTTTTATTCATATATTATTCATTCTTTTCCTACAGTCTGCAGTCCTCAGAAACTGTTTTTTCAAAAAAATCTCCAAATTACCTGGTGATTAGCTTCGAAAGTTTTATATAAAAACAATAGGCTCTGTTTTCTCGTTCATTGTTTTGAAGATGTGTTAGCATAGGCATTACATATGCGTATCCTACTTATGGCTCCCCTTAACATTCTGTCTTCCACATGTTCAGTTGTGGTGATGGTACCTTGGGTGGTCCCGCTCAAAGAGGAGATAATTACGAATGTAGGAACATGAAACTACTTCTTAAGCAGCAACAAAGGGTAATATTGCGTTATCTATTTCTTTTGAAGTGTTAATTTACGCACTCTGCTTAGTTTTGATGTTTTAAAAGATGAACACAAGGGTTACAGCGCAATATTGTCATTTTGCTTCACATTTTACCAATTCTCGTTAAAATGCATATTATTATTTTAAAATTTGAAATATGGATTCGTCTTTAGAATATCTAACCGAAAAGTTGAACTTATTAGTTGAACTAGTCAATGAACAACAGATTAGAAATATTTTATTTTCTTATCCTTTTGATTGATTAATGAAAAACGCATCGTCAGTTTTTATCTTGTAGTTGAGTCGCCATCATTGTTACAATCATGATGATGATGAGGTCATTCCCATCAGTCTAACGTTGGTTAAATATGAAGAAGAATCTACTTAGCTTCATGTATTTTTTTCAAACAAATGTTTGTGTGACATGTAACCTTAATAGGTTGTGTTTATGCTTGACCAGGGAAACTGAATATATGGTATATAACACCGGTAGTGGTTAACAATGGGATGCTCCTTTTTGGTCTGATATTGATAGATTATGACATGATGTGAAACTGAAGATGGACTTTGCCTTCGGAAAAATTTCAGTCTGTCGATTAAGAGACTAAAAAGCCACACGTCCCATACAACCATGAATGGCTTTAACTTAAAGGCAAAATGAAAATCATGTGAAAATGCCCTGAAGTGGATCGGCATCTTCCCAGGAGACAGGCCCCCCCAAGTCAAGCGCGCTGACTTTACTGGAAATTATAATCCGATTTCAAAAATTAAGTTTTTGTCTAATTTCATCAAGAAACGTTTACCTCTTTCCTCACGTCTGCACTTTCATGAGTACAAATCTGATTCATGAATAAGTAAGCTAGATCTTCAGTGAAGATTCCTTCAAAATCCTGGATCCCATCAACCTGCGTGAGTACAGTTATGCCAAGTATCTTCAATGGCTCTAAAGCTTGAAATTTTCCATCTTGGAAAATGTTCTTTTCAGATTTCGGAAACTTAACTTTAGTTGCAACTTTCATGCTCATCCTCTTCTGTCAAACTCGTCCGGATGATCCCATACCTGAATTTCTCTTCCTCTGTTCTGAGTTTCCACAACCATGTCTTATTGTACTGATACCTGATTGAAATCTCTAATACAAGATCTCTGATCTTTTCGATCTGTACCTTGTTCCTGGAGAAGTGCCAACCAGCTATATATATAGATAGCTAAGGTGCCCAATCTCACCAACCTGCCATCAAAGCAGCCTCTCTGGCCTCCATCGTCTCCTACTCCATGAATACTGTTGGAAATGGAGAACTGTCCTCTGTTCTCCCTCTAACCTCCATTATATAGGGAGGAACCTTACACAATTTTCGCGAAACACCCTTAGTTGCTTACAGAATTTTCTTACGACCTAGAATTTCCAACAAATATTATGTTTTTGCCTCAAATATAAGTGCATTATTGAGGGGAACTACATCTCTGCAGGTCCTACTGGGAAGATCGGATGTCTCTGGCTGGGGGGCATTTCTCAAGGTAATCCGACCCTGGCTCTCCTTGACTCTGCTCTTGGCGTTCTCATCCTGGTTTCCCCCATTGCAGAATAGTGTTAGCAAGCATGAATATCTCGGGGAGTACACTGGGGAGCTGATCTCACATCGAGAGGCCGACAAGCGCGGAAAGATCTACGACCGCGAGAACTCCTCCTTTCTCTTCAATCTCAACGACCAGGCACCATTCTTTCTCAGATCTCTTTGGGGCCATCTTCATCTTCTCCTGCAGTCTTCTCGGAGTATTCATGTATCTATGTATTATCGTTATATATATATATTTTTTTATTTTATTTTATTTTTTTTGTGGGTGCAGTTTGTGCTTGATGCGTACAGAAAGGGGGACAAACTGAAGTTCGCCAATCACTCACCTGACCCAAACTGCTACGCCAAGGTCATCATGGTGGCAGGCGACCACAGGGTGGGGATTTTTGCCAAGGAGCGGATAAATGCTGGGGAGGAGCTCTTCTACGACTACCGCTATGAGCCGGACCGGGCTCCTGCCTGGGCCCGCAGGCCAGAGACCACTGCCCAAAAGAAGGAAGAGACATTCCCTTCTGGCGGCCGTGCCAAGAAACTCGCCTAGGTCACCCTCTCTCTCTCTCTCACACTCACTTTCGCTGTCTAGTGTTTACTCTCTCTCCATTTAGATGCCAACCAGTCCTGGCGTGCATTTTTCTCGCTGGGTCGTCATTTTTAGATCCCCTCCTTTCAACATGTGGATTATCATTTTAAGACATTGACATTGAAAATACTCAAAATGCAAGGAGGCTCTCTGTCTCTCTTTTTGTGTGGGCTTCAGATCCTTGTTTCCTAAATGGTTTCTCACTGGTGTTGCACCCTCGAGAAGATGGAAAGATGAGCAAGGGCTAGACAGACAACCTCACTCCTGCTTTAGAATGTATGACACCGTCACGGATTCCTCCATTCAACATGCTGTAAAACCAACATCTCCATTAAGATCCTTGTTTCCTCCAGGGTAGGTTTCTCACGGATGTTGCTCCCTCAAGAAGATGGAATGATGAGCGAGGGCTAGAAAGACAACGTCACACCTGCTTTAGAACATATGAGACAGTCATGGATCCCTCCATTAAAGATGCTGTAGCATCAACACCTCATGGCTCCTCCATTCAATACCACCAGTGACAATCATGGTTCCTTCATTCGTAGTTAAGGATATAACCCATGCAATATGATATATATTTGCTGCGAACTAATGGAATAAAATTTCTTCCAGTGATTTTTGTGTGAAAACGTACCAACAAATCCCACAATGAGTGATTTACTGGTGTCTTTTGAAGCTCAATAAAGTTAAGCTTCGTATTGAGTGTAATGACATTTGAGGCCAACCGTGGGCAAGAATGGGAAGGGCATGAAGGAATTTCAATAGACGATAGCCTCGTATTTATATCTTTGTCAAAATGTTCGTTTGTTTTTCTTCTGCTCTATCTAAGATTGCATTTTCATGATGATTTTTCAAGTGCCATGGAATGGTATTCAAAGCCAGCCAGATTAGAGTAATGCTGCTAGCTTCATCTCCTTCACCAATTTACAATCTGAAAAGAAAAAACCCCTCTTTCATACTGGAATTATCATTTTTTGCATGGATTCAATTGACCTTCCTCCCATTATGACATTATCAATCCTCACTTTAAATCACTCACTTCTTGATGAGACATTATCAACACTTTAAATTCTCAATTTGCACTCAGCTCAGCTCAATGATTGAATCCTAGCACTTTTGGTGACCAGTAATGCTGTCCCTACCCATTGAATCATCCTTGAATTAAATATTTCATATATTTTTAATCAATTTCAACTAGAACAAATTTGACCCAGAAAATATTCTCTACTTTTTACGCAACATTCTTTAATTAGTGGAATGACAATGATATCGCCTTTAAGGGTTTCACATTCCTTAATCTCTTTGCCCACTTTGCCGACTTCTTCTTAGAGTGGATCGTTGCATTGGATCCACAGCCTACTGACATATTCGTTTGTCTTGTCTTTACTTAATCTGTCAAGTCGCATCTGCTGGTCTATAGTGGATAATTTATTGGTAGTTAAGCCCAAATAATCCGACCCATGTGCAATGGTCTGCGAAGTATTAGTCTTCATCTGTTAACTGTCTCCGGTTCTCCAGATGAGTGAGTCTGAAGTCTCTGCATTAAAGGGAGATCCAACAGAACGGAAGGTAGATCAGTAACTCTATGCATTTAAGGCCCGCTAACCTCATCCAATGTGCTCAAGCACAAGAGTGGATTCAGTACTTGTGTTTATAGCCAATACTGTGTTCGTTTGTCATAAACCATGGTAGTCTCCTGTAATATTCCATGAAGATCTGTCAATTTCCTCCAAAAATACATAAACTGTTGCATAGTACATAATCAAGTGCACGTAGGTGATCAACAATCTTGGGTAATCAATGTGCAAATATATATCCATGCCATGTGTTCTATTATCCATTTTGTTTTTGCTCAACATCAAGATTCACGAGGCTCCAAAAACCTAAAATAAGTTATGCTGTCCAAGTTTTGTCACGTGTCTAGTGAGTTTTCCTTCCCTCGATTTCATCATTGTCTCTTTTTACCGAAGATGTGTCGGCACAACTCTCTCTTTCTCTCTCTCTCTCTAGTAATATTTTTTCTGAGGTGATTTTTTTAATCCGTTGACTTGACATGATGCCTCTGACTTTTGACATCTGATTTCTCCGTTTGTAACCTGAGAAACATGTTACCACAACAACTAAAAAACTAAATCTTGAATTGATTATTAGTGTGTTTCGACATAATTCATGCAGTTTTTCTTTATACATCTATTTTGCATTTTATTTTTTGACATCAAAATCATCATCACAACTGGTACCTCTGCAACCTTTGAGCTTTGATTCCTTGTTGCTCGAGGTGGCAATCATTGTCTTCCTTCTTAGGGGGGTAGCTCAGAAGTGTCCTTGTTTCTTGCACTTAAAAACACGCTTCTTCAAGTTTGTAAGAATCATTAATTGTTCTGTGGTCCTAAACTTGTCAGCCTCTGTTTCTATAGAGATCTCTTCAACAATTTTCCAGATAGTAGTAGAGCTTTTCCTCTTCGAAGCGGGACCAAACTTTCTGTGATCATTTTCTCTGAATAGAACGTTTTCATTTTTGCTCTCTAGAGAGACCTATTTCATTGGTCAGCAATGATTCCATGAGTTCATCGAGCGGTAATTAAAGTCTTTAGCTTCGTCTATAATTGTCACCCCAAGTTTCAAAACACGAGGTCGATGATCTCAAGATCCTCCTATTTTTCTGTATTTGTATAATTTGTGTATTTTTTTTAGTATATTAGTGATATCTGTAAACTACTAAATATGTCATTAATAGTCTCACTTTCATCTATGGCAAAATAATCCACGTATCTGTGTACCAAAAATCAATTTTGTCGAACATGGCTTGTGAAGTTCCTTTGTATACATTGTCTCCCATCTCTCTCTCTCTCTCTCTCTCTCTCTCTCTCTCTCTCTCTCTACTGCATCATTCTTTATCTTCAGGGGTTCAAAAGGCGAGGAGAGAAAAGAGAAACATAGCAACAAGCCGAGAGTTTTGACTCTCGCTGTTGATTGATTAGGAGGCACTAGTAGCAGGACACCCACAAACTCCTGTTTTATATCTCTCACTATCCTCAGTAGGGGCGAAACTTTACAGTGGAATCACAAACGCCACAAGATTTTTCCTACATAAGCAGCTGGTTGGGCCTCCGATTATGGTGGCGGAGCCTCAGGCCCACATCCACATCCGCATCCGCCTGGTGCTGGTGCTGGATCTGCTGCTCGACGTGTTGCAAGGTGTGGTGGTGGTGGTCCGGCGGACTATCGTTGGAAGGGCCGGCGGCGGCCGGGTCCGCCGCGGGGATCTCGCCAAAGTCGTGGAGGCGCCGGCCGCGGAGGTAGCGGTCGTCGCGGATGGCGTTGTGGAGGTTGGTGAACCAGACGTGGAACCTCTTGGCGCAGAAGACGAGGGTCCCCAGCAGCAGGCAACCCAGCCACGCGAAGCGGTACACGGCGGAGTTGACGACCAGCGGGTAGCCCAGCAGGGGGAACACCCCCCGCGCGAACACGTACGGCACGCATAGCGCCGTCAGCAGCTTCACCACGATCGGCACCACGATCTCCTGCAGCACCCACAGCCCCTGCAGCCGCGAGAACCCGTTCTCCCTCACCCTCTCGAACTTGCCCTTCCACCCCTCGTCCACCAGCGGCGCCATATGCTCCAACATCACCTGCCACACGACACGACGGAGGGCATGAGACGCTCCTCGAGAAGCTCCTCTGCTCTAAATAAAAAGCCCAGCGGTTGATTGGTTGGTTGCTCACCAGTCTGGTCCAGATCTTGAGGAAGATCAAGCCCAGAGCCCAGTCCTGGTACAGGAGGAAGACGGGGCTCTCGTCCACAGGCACTCGCATCGGCACGATCACCAGCAGCTCGAACAGCAGCCCGATCAGCACCGGAATCACGAAGATCTGGGCGACCAAACAGATGAGATAACACCAGAAGAAGAAGAAGAAGAAGAAGAAGACAAACTGTGCGTTGCTCACCCAGATAGATAAGAGACCAGAGCTCTTCAAGATGATAGCGCTCCACTTCCATGCCTGAGACAGCAGGACCCTGGTTCTCTGACTTCTGATGTAATCGACGGCGTATCTGGTCCCAGCTACGATGCTCCAGATGAGATAGAAACCGATGTTGAAGGCGTACAGATCTGCACAAAAAAAAAAAAAAAGATTAGTTTCCAGCAGTGTGTTGATGCCATCAATCGCGAGAGACGAGAGAATATTTAGCAATGTTACCGTTGCACTTGATGCCGTGAGTGATTGGGAGCCGAGGGATTGCGTTGAACAGGAAACGTCCGAGATAGATGGGGATGATGATCAGGCTCGAGTTGAACAGTAACAAAGTCAACCATGCCAAGACCAGCAGTAACACAATCCGGAGCACAAAACTATATCTGTCAGAAAATCGAAGCAGCAAGAATCAAGGATAGAAGAAAAAATGGCAGATAAAAGGCAAACTGCCCTCCCAGTATCCCAATGCCCAGCCATCCTTTTCCATCCATAGGCCAGCTGTATCCTCATATGGGGCCTCGGCAACCAGTTAGAATGGCTTCTCAGTTTGATAGGGTTTTAACTTTTTAACGATCATTAAACAAATAGAAACAGGACAATATGTAATCATATGGGTCAGTGGGATTTGTCAGGGAGCGGTTTTCAATTTGAAAGTATATCAAAAAAAATTCCGAATATAACTTCAACTAATCTTCACCTGCGAAAAATTATTTATTTTTCCCGAAGTTTATAAATTTTCTCTCCAAAACAAGGTGAACTTGACCAATCAACAATTTTCAATTCAGTTCATCCCGTTGTCACTCAAACAGCCACTCTCCAAGTTCCATGAGGGACAGCTTTCACTCATTCTGTTACTCTTACCTACCTATAATTGCAACCTATATTCTGTCAACCGAAAGCATATTTTTCTATCCCTAATGATGCAGCTTAGAAATCCTAAGTCAACCTAGCTTCGAAAAAAAATTGTTAGCGTCTGAGGCGCAGTACAGTACAACATACAGAAAGGCTAAGCAAAGGCAGTGTCACTTACTCTGAATCTGATTGATCATCAACATCATAACCATCAGTGACATCAACACCTCCAGCTGTGTGTATTCCACTATCTGGTTGTCCAGCAGCTTCAGGAAGGAAGAATTGGTCTAACAGCTCAACTTGCATACCCCCAGGTTGCTGTGCATCATGCAACCTGTCCTGCCTTATAGGTTCTGCATTCTCAATCTCCCGCCCTCCATTTTCTTCACGTGGTGGCAATAGAAATTCAGTTAAATCAAGAGCCCATCCAGCAGCCGTGAACCAGTGATGCAGAAGTGCCTTAATGGTAGCTCTTGGTTTGAAATGCTCAATTGCGAATGGAATACATATCTGGAACAGAAGCATGTCTGCCGGAATCTCCGTGAATGGATCAGAAACACTGCATTGTTTAGACGCACAACTAGATGTAAAATAGCACAAAAAATTAATGAGATTTAAATTCGAACTAAATTGGGGATGAGAGTATCTGATACTAACGTAATATCCAACGGAAATATAGATGGAGCTAATCGCAGGGCAAGCTTGACTGGTACGAAGACAAGCATTACAATCAAGCTCCCATAAACAGCAACTGATAAAAGAACACGGCGAGCATGCTTGTGAACTGGATCGTCAATTAGATCACGAAATGGATTATAATTTGGATCAGCTGGGTCTCGAAGGAAATACAAAACACCATTTCGTAAGACCTACAAGAAGGATTGGAGTCAAATATCAAATGAAATTAACTTTACTGAAAATAAATGAAGAAACAGTACAAATCCAAGCAAAAGTAATACCCCTCGAAGAAGGCTGACAAAGATGCTTATTTGAAGCATATAAATAATTCCCACAATCCAATGAATCAGAGAGCTCGCTAATGGTGAAACCGAAAAGAACTCAATCCTTCGTGACATGGTTGTCCCCAGCATCCTTATAGTGCAGATGTCCAGCCACCAACCACACATCAATGGAAATATACCAAGTTCAATGACTAGAAGAAACGCAACCTTGACCATTGTCATTAAATGTTTCATTCCTGACAAAAACTGCCTGAATAGCGAGGAAAATGCTTCAATAATTGACACTATTCCATAAAACCTTCGGTTGGTCAAGGGCTCACCACGACTATAGCGAATTAAGGCAACAAAGGCTAGGTAAAATAAAACTAAAGAAAAGATAAACATGTATCCAATGGCAAGAGTTGTAACATCAGATAGGCGTGATGACTCAGCGCCCTTAATCATATCAGCAGCAGGAGGAGCATTGACCATATTAGTCACTTCTTGCAATCCAGTATTATTTTGCAGGGACTCAGAAACAGCCTCCATAACATGCCCAGCGAGGTGCTCACTGTCAGATAAGTTCTTCACAGTTGTCAGTGTGTTCTTTACTGTCGCATTAGCAAAAGAGAGTGCAGATTCTGAAAGAGGCATGAAAGTTGACAACGGACTACTGGATGACGAGAAGAACCAAGAGAAAAAGTAGAGAACCATCCGCCCAAAGGTAAAGGGGATAAAAATCACAACACCAAGGAAAATCGCGTTGCTTGCCAGAACCTGTCAGTTGACGGACAAGTAAAATTACTTAGAATCACAAGTTAGAATACAGTGAAAATGGGCAAGGTAGAATCAAATAAAATGATGATATTCAAAAGTAATTACTTTCCAATAAGAATCACAGGCTACACGTGGAAAATATAATAAGAATTCATGAATCAGCGAACCTTTATCCTCCCACATTCTTTCAGTGATGTAGAATAACCATTTCACAGAACCCCCATATTCAATGCAAACTACATGCAAATGCCACTTCATCTTTGCGTTTGCAAAAGAACAATCCACATTCTTATACTTATTTACTTTTTTTATTAATAGACTAGCCAGACTGTAAAAAAATGCTAATATTTTTCAACACGCATGCATTGCAATATAAAATTAAAGCACAGCAAATCATTGACATATAACTCTTAAGAGTAACTATAATTCCAAAGGTAAAAGTGCTATATTATGATCTAAACTTGAGAAATATAGTATAATTATGATTAAATACGACATGCCAGGTAGGCATTGCAGAAATGATGGTATTGGATCCCGCTAAGACAACCAAAGTGTGCATGAAATGCCCACTACATCTACACAATCACTACTAGGACAGGAAGATGGATGAACAATGCAAGATATTATCCAACCTCAAATGAGCTTAACTGGTAAATTTTACTTTTTTCTAGATGCATATCTTCTAACATTAGCCATATCCAAGATAAAATATTCACATAGTTTCTAAACTTCAAAAAGTGAACACAAAAAGAAACTAATATATTGACAGGAACTTCAGAAACTAACTGTTGACCTGATCGTTTTGGCATGTAGAGCACAAAAACTTCAAAAAATTATCATACACTCACCGTTATAGCATTTTCAACCAAATGAAAGACAGGACCTTGCATGCCGACCAACTCATCAAAAGGTACATCTTCAGCACCATCAGCATCGTCTAGTCCATCAAACATTTGTTCAACATGTGCTTCAAGACGTGCAGCCTGCATTTCTAGCTGAGCAGCTACATTTTCTGCATTTCTTCTGATCATCTGACCAGCACCAGCAATTCCTCGTGCCCCACCAACATCTTCAACATTTCCATCTCCCCCATTAATCATATTTGGTTGACCAGGAGGTCTTCTCAAAGCACGAGCACCATGTCTTTCTTGAACATCCTCATCCCTCTCAGCATCATGCCCAGCCAGTTCACGAAGATGTCTAAAGTAATCTCTCAAAGAAGTAGCTCCGAGGAATATGAACACAATGCTCGCCGATAGTAAAAAGCCATGCAGGCAGTCAGTAAGAATCAAAGGTGTAGATATGTGACTCAGAAACAGCATCTGTGCTTCACCAAGGCTTCTCACAAATGCCAAACGCCATATCCAGAATGTAATGAAAGGTATTATGAGAAGCCAAACCGAAAGTACGAAAGCCAATCGTAGAAAGAATTGTAGAACAGAGCATGCTTTCATGGCCATTCCAATCAAAAATTCCCGAAAGGGCAACCTAGCAGGGGCGTCGTCAGCATAGAGCGGAGAGAATGAAAATGGATGCTTGCAGACCTGCACAGGTTTCGACACATTGCTCTTAACAATTAATCAAGGAACATACGAGGTCAAGTAATAAACTAAGAGCCATGACACAAAACACCAGAAACCATCAAATATTTTCAGAAGACAGTACGAAGCCTCAAATATAATATGCGGCAACACAACGCAATTAACTCAATAATGCGATTACGTTTCAGACGGGGGCAATCAGAAGATAATTAAAAGCATACGAAGCTTAAGTATCGTACTCGTGAGTTTTGCGTCCTGTATGTTAAAAATAAGTTATCTCTAAGGTTGTTCAAAGGAGAGAGGATAACCTCACTTTTATTTGCATCTAAAGACAACGACATGGGAATCACTTCCGTAATGAGGCTTCGAGAGGAGAGAAAAAATGCCCCGGAGAAAGCCAAAGCACACAGAGAAACAACCAGCTAGGTTTTGGTTTCTTGCATTATTCATCTTTCAAGGGAAGCGCCCAAGAATTACCAAACAGAGATTTTGAAAAGAAAAGTAAATTCATCCTCAACTATGGTGTCTTCCGTATTCCGTGTTCAAGTACCAGCAAGGACTCATATAGAATAACCCCAAAGCAAAATTTCAAGAATAAGAACAGCGATCAAGAGATAACCGGCAAAATAAATACACGAGCAAAAACCTAATTCCAAACGAAAGGAAAAACAATTTCCTCAAAAATCAGACCACAGGAAACCTAAACAGACGAGTCCACAATCCAACGAATGTAAAAGGAATAGAAATAAAGGGTTCCCAATCTAACCTCGCAGTGCCGGGCGTTGCTGTGATCGAGCCACTGTAGGAGGCAGTGCTCGTGCACATACTTGATGCTACCGCTGCAGGCGCACGGATAACGCAGCGGCCTCTCGACATCCGCGGGATTCCGGCAGATCCTGCACACGTCCCCCTCGTCGTCATCGTCGACCACGGCAGCCAGAGAAGACCCAACGGCAGCGGGCACCGGACCCTCCCCGTCCCCAGCCCGCCCCTCCTCGTCCCTCATATCGGGGCCAGCTGCTGCGATCTCCACGGGCGCCTCCATCGCGAAGGGGGAGCGAAGCCGGTCAGCGGAGAAGAACCTCCGACCGAACCTCCCACCGAACCTCCCACCGAACGGAAGAGAGGAAATGAAAACTAGTGAAATACAAAATACATATAGAGATGGCTGCTGGACGACCCAAGCCACTACGAATTTGACACGTAACACTTTGCACAGAGAGAGAGAGAGATTAGAACGAACCATGTCGGTATGGGTAGGCTCGGGCGTCGTCCAAGGGGCAGAGAGAGAGAGAGAGAGAGAGAGAGAGAGAGGGACTCTCTCGAACCCAAACCCTGAATGCTGGGCCGGTTCGAGGTTCCGTGGCCCATTTCTCTTCCTCAGTGCGGTCCAGCCTACAGATTCGTCTCAGTTCCACCAAATGGGCCGGACCAGGGCCCTGACGAGTGGTAGACCCCGAGCCAGGTTGACACCTCCGGCATGGCACCTGTGGCAATAGGTCATAGGAGAGAGAGGGACACTAAAGTGGTGACCAGTTGCCTACACATGAGATTCAACTTCTCTTAGCATAGAAGTTTTTGTTCCTTTATCCATTCAATTTTATAAGGACGCGGGTGTGTATTAGTTTTCAGCCCTGACCTTCAAATTATAATTAAAAAAATATTATTTTTATTACCACCAATTATTATACATAAAGCCACATGTAGATCAAGAAGGGAAGATTGAATTGATCAAATCTAATTTATTTAGTTTTCTCGTCTTTCTAATTTCTCACTTTTTTTTCTTAATTTCCCAAATTCAATAAATTTTATATTAATTTTGCCTATTAATTTCTCAGCTACTATGCTCTACAAGGACACTCCGCGTCCCTGAGAAATAAGTCGTGCTTGATGAATATAAATTTTTTTTCACTAGGGTGGCAACTCAAAAAAGAAAAAAGGGTGTTGATGAATTATTATATTTTGATGAAGAAATTGATTGATTACTTATGATTTCTAGGTTACAACCCTTTAAACGTTCAGATACTTCTAGTTGATTTTCAGTTGGGATGAAATTATCTCTTGATCAGTTTGCAATCTCAACTTCAACCATGTGATTGTCATCGGAGCTTTTGAATTTCAATCTAAAATCTTCTTGGAGTGGCATGAAAGCACTATAGATAATAGATAATTGGGTGAGTCTTTGTTTTAAATGGGCAAGAAATGCTTGATTTATACGTTTAATTTTGATTTTTCCCTTTAAAGAAAGGATTTTTGGTATATAAGAGAAATAATAGCGTTCGTGCAGTCGTGCTGTGGACCCGTCGTTGTACCCATTCTTTCTAGGGCATGAAGAGGAAGGATCCGGGCTTTGAGCCAATCTGGGCTCTGGAAGAAGTCAGCCCCAAGGTCATTCTGTGAAGAAGGCTACTAAACATGGAGGCCTGATCATATCCGAGGCTTATTTCGAAGAGAAGACATGGAAGACAGAGGAGGTGGTGACGTAGAGTAGACCACATATATGCACAGCCACGTTAACAGCCCTACAAGCGAGAGAGTGAGAGGAAGGGGAGTCAGATGGCCACGGACAGGAGGCTCTGGAGGCTGCCGTCGTCCAACGCCGCCGCCCGGCGTCGCCCCACGCCGTCGGCGCCGTCAAGTTCGTCCTGCAGCAGGCGGAGCGCCCGCCGGTACCGCGGGACGCGGGCGGCGACAATCCGTCGGAGGCGGAAGAGAAGCAGCGACGTAGCGGCGACGGTGGCGTTGCACATGCCAGGCAGCTGCCGGGCAAGCGGAAGGTAGATGTTGAAGGGCCACAGAAGAGGCGATAACCGGAAGAGCAGCTGCAGGAGAGGCCTCTTCACCACCACCGCCCCCGCCAAGAAGTGGATCGCCATTACTACCCCCACACCTCTCGGCGCTCCCTTCCATTCTTATACTAGATGGGTAGTTTCTCCCCCCCTTCCTCTCTCTCACTCGCTCACTTTCTCGCTCTACGGACAGTGCCGGCGAGAGCCAGCGGAGGTGACTCGAGGCGGGTACAAGAAGGACATACGTACAATTATTAAGTTTCCCTTTGGGCCGAAAGCATTGAGGACACCTCAGAAACGAACCCATGAATAATTTGCCAAGAATCAGGGGTTTATTGAAAACTAGTGGAGAAACTAACGAAGATTAGAAATTCTTCAATAATGAGAGACAGAGCGTGGGGGGGTGGGGGACAGATAGGCGGCCTTCATGTTGATGATGACAGAGATGACGACGACTCGAAGAGATAAATAGAGATAAATCCAAATGGGAATATGTACAGATCAAATGGAGACTTCTCCCCGCTACGGAATAGCTCATCTACCTTCCGGTCATGCCTTCCTCAGGTCGCCGTCCCTGGGTTCTTCATATGGAGCTGCTGCTGCCGCCGCCGGAGCTGGTCCAGCGGGGCTTAGCCGGGATGCGCTTCACCATCTTCACCCCGAGAGGGCTGTTCTTACTCTGCACAAAAACGTGGACTCAGCAGAGTTGGGAAGGGGGTTTACTCTTCTTCAATGCAGAATAGATGCGCTTACGGCGAGGCAGGTGCGGTCCTTGACGTTGCAGACGGGGAAATCATGGGGGCAGCAGCTGTAGTGGTCGTCGCAGCAGACGGCACCATCAAGGGGGCAGCAACCCCAGGCGAAGCAGTAGTTGCTGTACTCGTACACGCAGCAGCAGGTGGTGCTCTCCGGGCAGGAGTAGTAGTTGTCACAGGCGGTGGGTGGCTTCACCGGGGATGGAGGGGACGGCCCAGGCTTCGGGGGGTTTTGGCCCTTCTTCACCGGGTATGAGGGCTCAATAGCAATCCCACACTTGCCGGTGGTGGCGTTGGCCATGTTCCTCTCGAGCCTGATGTAGCCGGCCTCCCCCCAGCTGCCTCCCCACGAGTTCCGCACGATCCAGAAATCTGTGCCGTTCTCCGTGCCATAGCCGACGGCGACGACGCCATGGTCCAGCTCGGTGCCGCACGTTCCAGTGAATATCCCCTGAGGCAAATGGTCAAGAGATCATCAGCGTCCCTCCGGATTGGTCATCTTTCTCCAGGGTTATTTAATCTATCGATCTCGTGTTCTTACGGATTTATAGAGCTGAAAGTTCCTGCCGCCGGCTTCAATGGCGACGCTGACGGGCTGGCCGGCAACTGCCTTCTTGAGGGACTGTTCGTCGTTCACCGGCACATCTTCGTAGGAGTCGATGGAGACCACCTTGGCATTCTTCTGAGAGATCTCAGGACACGAACACGGTTGAGGAGATACCCATCGCAAGCAAGGGAGAGAGACTGAGAGGACGATTCAAAAGCGGGGTTCTGGTTGACTGATTACCCGCTGGAGGTCGCAGCGCCCGTTGCGGGCCTTGTAAGGGTAATCCTCATCGGAGTCGATGCCGCCATTGTTGATGATGAACTCGAAGGCGTAGTCCATTAGACCCCCGTTGCAGCCCTGGTTGACCGCAGTGTCGCAGTCAACAAGCTCCTGCTCAGAGAGGGTGATCAGGTCACCTGTCACGATCTTGTTCACACCCTCCACAGATGCGACGGTGGAGAACGCCCAGCAGCTCCCTTCAAAATTCGAGATTGATAGAAAGACATTCGGCATCAGAAGTAAATGGCGTAGACGAACACATTGAGGATTGAGGATCAGATTCAGATTCAGACCGTCGTCTGTCCTTGAGGTCATCCCTAACAGATGCAGGGAATACGGTGACAGAAGGACAAAATCGTACATCAAGGATGCCAAAGAGCAGTTTACAGTGAAAAAAAAAAAAAAAAGGGAAAATAATGGACATGTCTCCATTCATTCCCCATGAGGTTCAGGGAAAAAAATTGATGAAGATCAACATCAGGAGTCAAGAATCTATAATTTCGGAGCAGCTAGTTAAATGTCACAACTACCAAGATAGAGAGAGGAACCAAAGGAAATAGTGACAACAGATTTACAGCCACTTGGAGCATCAAACCTGTCATCATCACTATCTAATTTTCTGCTGAAGTAACAGGCCCGGAGGCTGTGGACAAGGACCGGTACATGAGCAATAGAGAATGGCCGAGTATTAAAAGCATGAAAACAACTAGAACTTTGGGCGATTAAAAGCAGGCGAGAGCAACGGACGAAACTACGGGGATAGAAAGATCATTGGATGTTCTCCACGATTACCTTTCCAGAATCGTCCTGGGGAAGGAAGCAACTAGGGTACTAGGGTTTGAAAGGAATGGGAAGGAATCGACTCACCGCAGCTTCCCTGATCTTTGACGGCGGCGACGGCCCGTTTTTCTCTCCAGTCCACCGCCTCCGGCAGGTCCTCACCCTCGGCTAGGCGGTACCGATCGCTCGGTGCCCGATTCAGCCTCTTCGGCCGCAGTTCGCCAGGCTTCACCCCGAGGTACATGGAGCGGAACTCCTCGTTGGTGAGGTCGGCAAATCGGTTGAGGCCGAGTTGGAACGAGTGCTGGTTCTCTGCGTGGTTGTGCTCGTCAATGTAGCGAAGGTTATCCTTGAAGATCTCGAATCGCCGGTCCTTCTCGCCGAGTCCATTGTAAGACTTGCCGTGTTTCACAAGCCATCCCTCGTACAGCAGCTTAATCTCCTCCTCCGACCTCTCCGCCGGCACCGCCGCAATACAGATCGCGAGGAGGGCAAGCAAGAGAAACAACGGCGATGCCCTGAAAACCCCCATGAATCCCTCCCTCGTTCCTGCTACGTTCTTCCAAGGGCGGTGGACGCAACCAGAGAGAAGGCGGCAGGGGAAAGCAGAGATTGGGGCCGTGGAAGAGCAGGATGGGGCCGGGCTTGTTTATATAGACGTGGTGGGAGCAGGATGGGGTCACCATTCTGCGCGTCTCATTCTGCCCAAATTCCTGTACGTTGATGTGTGTGGAACTCCTCTGGGCGGTGCAATCACCGGGCGGTAGGGGGATCTGGAAAAGGGAAGGGATTCATCACGTCTCGCTGGAAGGATCAGATTGGAGAACGGAAGTTGCAATTGCAAAAAAGCTGATGAAAACGTTTTATTAAAAAAATGTATAATTTACGAAATAGTGCTTTGACAAGTGTCCACCTGTAATTAGAAAATAAAAGAAATAGAACCCATGTTGGTAATAAAATAGAAAATAGGGAGAAAAGGGCAAACATAAAAAAATGTTAGAGAAAAATATGGGGTAGCGCGCAAATCGAGGAAGTCGCAGGAGTCCAGTTCGCCCATCCGTTTCTCTCCCCTTTTGTCGCCTCATCTCTCTCTCTCTCTCCTCTTTTCTCGCGTCATTCTTTCTCTCTCTTTCTCTCTCTCTCTCTCCTCCCGCATACGTCTCCATCGAACGATGGACTGCTAATCCCTGTGTGGTGAGAGCGACACCCTCGTCCATTTCCTACCCTGATAAAGATATATTTCCGCAAAAAGCCTTACTTTAGGATGTCGGATCGTCCAAGAGTAGAAAACAAATAATTCCGGAATCCGAACCCGACAACGACCCGGTAACTTTCCCAGTCAAGTAGCCGTCTCGAACAGAGTCCATTCAATCTCGCTGGGATCCGCGTTTCGAGGTAATGACGTGGCTGATGCCAATTGGTTGAAGCTACTGGCGCGAGTCCCGGCGCTCAGGGCGGCGCCGATCAAAGGGAAGGATGGCCTAATCCGCTCGGTGGAAGAGACGTGGACGACAATATCACCGTCTAAAGGCTAAACCTGGCCGTTACTCGATTGGACGGACGGAAATGCCCCCGATTCCCTCCAGACGAAGAAACCGCCCGGATCAAAGATGGACGGCGGAGCAATGGGATGGTTAACGCCACGTGGCCGCGTATCTCCAATGCTTATGAGATATAAAGCGAACGATATAAGGAACTGCCCAAAATCATTTCATCCCAGCAACTACGCGGACCAATGAGCGCGCACATGAATGGAATTTAGAGCGGCGGATGGGGACACCCAGCGTGAAGAGCATGAGGAATCATCACGTCGGGAGTTGACCGGACCCCAAAGGGTCCGAGTGGGCTCGAGCCTGGGCGCAAAAGTATGGACCGAGCCGAGCCCTGGCCCGGGCCATGGACCAGGTTCGTGGGAATATGGGAAGCGAAAGGGACGGGTGCGTGCGGTGGCAGCATCCATCGGGGTAATCGCGACAGCGATCGGCTTTCACGGCGGGAGCTGGTCCGACGGGATCCGTTTTGTCGTCTTACGGTGGCGCGTGAAAAGCGGTGCTCACGAGGCGAAGGTTAGTATGCCGCATTGACCGGCGCGTTCGGGATCGTCCGGTTGCTTGATAGCAATGGAACGAAGGTATTGCTATCAATAGCTCTCCGTGTCTCTGTGTCTCTCAGTCTTCACACACGCACACTTGAAACGGGGAACTCACTTGTAGAGACTTCTCTCTCTCTCTCTCACTCTCACTCTTCACATACGCACGCCTGAAATGGGCAACTCACTTCTAGAGACTCTTTTCCTCTCTTTGTCTCCCTCTCTCTCTCTCTCTCTCACTCTCACTCTTCACACACGCACACTTGAAATGGGCAACTCACTTGTATAGACTCTTTTCCTCTCTTCCCCCCTTACGCTTGAGAGCATGCATGCCTAAAATTGGCATTTGATAGGACGCCCATTGCAGGTTGCAAACTCAAAAATAAAAATGAGTAGCCAATTTTTGGTTTTCATAATATTTTAAATAAAAATGTGCACAATTGATGATGATTGGATTAGTAGGGAGTGAAGGCATATCTACCTTACTCAAAAAAATTATAGTTACTTACCACGAAAAGTGGATAAATGTCACTTGTATACTCATCATAATGAGGATTTATGTTTATACTCTTTAGTATTGTCTTAAGAGATATTTTGGAGAGCTCTTTCTTTGGATTGATTTCATAGCTAAGCCTCTTTGAGTTACATGGAATAAAAAATCCTCTATGGTTATATTGCACATAAATATCGTACGCCAATGTCATAAATATCTAGGAAAGTTAACTAGATGGTTTTTTCAGTTGAATAGAGCATTATATCAAATAAATAAATAAAATTTTGACCATTTTCATGCACGAACAAATTCTTGATAATGTGGTAATTTATTTTTTCTATAAACATTTTTCTAGCTTATATGTTCTTATTTTAATTTATATTTTTTTAATTTTTATAAAATATATTAGATTATGATAAAATAAATTTATTTTATTACAATTTCATAGATAACAATAATGAAGGAATATAAATTAGTATATACTTGTGAAATGAGTAAAAACTTGGCAAGACTAAAGCCTCATAAAACATTCAAATGAGGTCTAAGTATGAAATATTATAGAAATGGTATATTCAACTAGATGCAAAAATTATACATAATTAAAAAATATATTTTACTTTAAAAATAGTTATAAAAAAATGGATACATATGAGAGAGAATATAGGAGGAAACATATTTATGAAAAGATATTAACATATAGAGTTGTCTGAAAAAAAGGAAATTTCACCTCTTAAATCCACAAGATAATTTCAATGAACAAGTTAAGTTTTGAATCCACCTAATTTGAAAACTTCAATCTATGAATACTTCTCTCGATATAATTGACTGGGTAACGATTTTATCCACAAGCATCACATGTTTATTTGAATCCACAAGCAGATGGAAAAAATCATGTATAGGAAGAAATCATACTTCTACATTTATTCTATCAAATATAATATTGTCAAATATTCAGATCATAAGTCATTAAACATGCTTCCAATCATCAAGCTCAATCTATAAGACTAATTGTTTTTATGACATAAAAATGATCATATTACAGACTGTTGTGGACATCATAATATTTACAGAATATTTTACATCGAGGATCGGCAGTGCTACAGAGGCTGTGAAATTCTATGGCAGTGCTGCAGAGAGAAGGTTGAGCATGAGGAATGGACATGGACCACCGGTGACCTGCGTCTTCTCTCACCCGGTGCCCAGGGGGGAGGAGCGGCGGCGGCCTGTCGGAGGCACAGGAGCTTGTCCGCTGTCTGCTGAGGAGGACCGGCAAGGGGAAGCAGCCGCCTGTGCCCACCCTGAACATTTTCGTGCGCGTCTTGAGGACGGAGCTGCCCTCTCCCGACATTCCCTCCTGGGACATCATCTCGAGCATCAGCCGAGCGTTAGGCGGTGGGGGTAATCGGAAGCTGAAATCGAGGACGAGTGTGAAGACGGGGACATCGGGCGTCGCCATCTTCCAGCGATTGGACTTCTCGGGAGGTGCCGCAGCGGAGGAATTTACCCGAGCAAACTCATCTCGCAGACACGAGAAATTCCCACGACGGAGCTGCCATCTTTTGCAACGCCCTTCTTCGACCTTATCTCGAGTTTCTGGCTGACGTTCAGCAGTGGCCTTAACCCGGCGCTGAAATGGAAGACGGGGATGAAGAGGGAGACCGTGGGCATCGGTACCTTCCTCCGCTAAGACCACTTGAGAGGTTTAGCGGCGGAGGAAGTGGAGACAGAGGTCCAATCCCATTTCGTTACGAACGAGGGGGGAGCCGTTGAGACCTTGGCATCCGAAATGGGGCCAAGGAGGAAGCGGTCTCGCAGAAATCGCCCCGGCCCAGGAACAAAGCCGGGCAGCCCGAGCGGAAACCAGTTCTGAGCCGTGTTGTTCTGGAAGCTGTGAGAGTCCGACTTATCAATAAAAGTCAGCAAGGGAGGGGGGGGGTATTTTACGTTTGAGTCAACAGGTCTTCATCAATTGGTATCAGAGCCTCCACACCCATCTCATGGGGCCCAAACCCACTGATTCCAAGGCTCGACTCCCTCGAGAAAGAGTTGGAAGAATTCCGGTACCTCACCCGCTCCAATCAAGTAGCAAATGCTGACCAGTTTCAAGCCCTGAGGGCAGGTCAGGCAGACATACGCCAGCAATTGGGATCCATGTCTCATTAGTTGGGGGCAGTCGCACAAATCCTAGACACCATTTAGCAGCAGCTAAGAATTTCCCCCAATCGGGCTGGCAGTCTACTCCACCCACCCATGGAACTGTCGACGGAGTGGGCTCCTAGGGAAACCAGCATGGGCCAACACCCATTTGCAACAAGTGAACCCAATCACTACGAGGAGCCATTTGTGAACCCTCATGGCCACGGCGGACTGTCCTTTCGACAGCAGCTTTGTGGTCCATTAGAACCCAAACCCCGGTGTTCTTTGAAATTTCCTATATTCTTCGGTGTCAACCCCCCAGAAGGTTGGATCTATTGAGTGGAGCTCTTATTTCTCCTCCTAGTACATGATAGGGCCCGAGCAGTTGGTGGAAGCTTGCCTCAGCATGGAAGTAAAAACCTTCCATTGGCTCCAATGGGTCAAGACTTGCCAGTCATCCTGCAGCTTGGAGGATTTGAAATACTGACCCTTGGAGCATTACGGCGACAAACGCTCAAGCTCTCTCTATCAGCAGTTTCTCGGACTTGAGTAGACAGGGACGGTGGAGGACTATCACGAGCAGTTTGAGCTCTTGTTGGACATCCTTTATGACATTCAGATGCCATTTTAGAAGAAAACTTCGTCAATGGCCTTTGAGAGGAGATTTATGCCGAAGCACACGCCGTCAACTTGTGAGGCTTAGAGGTGATTATGAGGATGACCCAATAGATTGAAACCAAACTCCAAATGCTAACAAACGGGGGACGATGTCTTGATAGGGGCCCAAGGAAAGGCTCCTTGGCATATGATGGACGCCAGCTACATGTCTCGCCGCAGGGTGTGCCAAGTAGGGATAGGGGGCAGCCTCCTAGAACAACAAATGCTGGCACTCTAGCAACCATGATCGGCGCTTTCTAGATAGATTGTCAACGTCGTTTGCATCTTATGATGATGGAAATCCAGGCCTAATGGGCCCAAGGCCTATGATTCCATTGCAATGAGAAATTCACGCCAGGCCATCAATGCAGGCGCCAGCTTATCCTCTTGTTTACCCTAGCTGACTCTAATTATTTGTAGAGCGAAGACCATGAGGAAGAGCTTCTCCCTGAAATTTCTTGGGTGATAGCTTGATCATTCAACTCGAAGTCACTTTACACTCACTCTCAGGCCAATCACATAGATGGACCATGTGCTTCAAAGGGACGATCCGAGGACGCCAGGTCTCTATCCCGTTTGACATTGGCACGACATTCACCTACATCAACAGTCACCTAGCAAAGAGTTGCATCTGCCCCAGGTCAAGAAAACTCGATATTGGGTGGACTGCCCTATATCGATTGGTATTTGATGTTTGAGTCAACATGGTTCATCAATTGGTATCATAGCCTTCACACCCATCTCATGGGGCCCAAATCCAGTGATCCCAAGCTCGACTCCCTTGAGAAAGAGATGGAGGAATTCTAGCACCTCACCCGCTCCAATTAAGTAGCAAATGCAGACCAGTTTGAAGCATTGAGGGCCAATCAAGTAAACATATGCTAGTAATTAGGATTTGTGTCTCACCAGCTGGGAGTAGTTGCGCAAATCTTGGACACTGTTCAGTGTCAGTAGAAAATTTCTCCTAATCAGGCTGCCAAGTCCGCTCCACCCATTGAACCGTCAATGGAGTGGGCTCCCAGGGGAACTAGCATGGGCCAACACCCATTTGCAGCAAGTGAACCTAGTCATTGGGAGGAGCTGTTTGTGAACCCCCCACGGCCATAGTGGACTGCCCGATCGATGGTAGCTGAGTGGTCCATCAAAACCTAACCCCCAGTGGTGTTTGAAATTTCACATATTCTGACATCGAACTTGAAGGTCGTATCTATCGTGTGGAGCTCTATTTCTCCACCTACCACCTCATAGGGCCTGAGCAATTGGTGGAAGCTTGCCTCAACATGGAAGGACTTGTCAATCATTCTGGAGTAGGGAGGATCTGAAATGCCAACTCTTGAAATGTTGCGGCAACAAACACTACAACTCCCTCTGCTAGTAGCTCCTCAAGGGGTGTGGAGGACTATTTCAAGTAGTTTGAGCTCTTGTCAAGCATCCTTTGCGACATTCTGTACGTCATTCTAGAAGGAAACTTCTTCAATAGCCTTTGAGAAGAGATTCAGGCCGAGGTACATGCCCTCAACTTGTGAGGCTTAGCGGCAATTATGAGGATGGCCCAATAGATTGAAACTAAACTCTAGATGTTGACAAACAGGGGGTGACTACACCCTTGTAGGGGCCCAAAGAAAGCCCCCTTGGAGCGCTTTCCTAGCAGATTGTCGATGTCATTTGCATCTTACGATGGTTGAAATCCAGGTCTGACGAGTCCAAGGCCTCTAGTATCATTGCAATGAGGAATTCACACTAGGCCATTGATGCAGAGAAGAGCTTAACATCTGGTTTACCTTGATAGACTCTGATTATCTGTAGAACGAAGACCATGAGGAAGAGCTTTCCCCTAAAATTTTCCTAGGTGACAGCGCGATCGTCCAACTAGAAGTTAGTCTACACTCACTCTCAAGCCAGTCACATGGATGGGCCATGCACTTCAAAGGGACAGTATGAGGACAGCAAGTCTTTGTCCTGCTCAACACTGACAACATTCAACTTTATCAACAATCGTCTGGACAAAGAGATGCAGCTGCCCTAGTCAAGATGACTTGATATTGGGTGGCCATGAGAACCGGCAAGATGGTCTTCGGTTTTGAGATGTGCCAAGGCCTCGTTGTTGACCTCCTGGAAACTATTATTCACTGACGATTTCCTCTTCTTTTCCTTGGCCTCTGTCGACATAATCCTAGGCATGCACTGGATGTAGGGATGATGCAGGCTCGAACTGGACTTAGATGAATAGATCATGACGTTCCTTGTCATAGTTGAGAAGGTGGTGCTCGAGGCAAAACCACCAGATACCTGCTCAGAACTCCACCTGAATACCTTCGTCAATAAACCCTGCAAGGGCAAAGCCTATTTTGAGTTATTTCAACTCGATGCTGGAGAAGCAACGGCACCCACTAGACGGTTAGCGGTGGAGGTTCAACAACATTTTTTGAATGTTTTTGCAGACATCACCAGTCTTCCACCACACTGCGACTAGGAGCACCGTATTATCCTCAAACAAGGATGATAGACCATTCCACTACCCATATTACTAGAACACAGAGCTGGAGAAACATGTCACCAGCCCTTATGTGGGAGTTTCATGACTCACCGACATGAGGAAATGGACATACCTCCGGCTCAAATGGAATGTCCACTAGCGAGGAATGAATACGGTAGTTAAATGCTATGTAGCTACTTGCCTGAGTTGTCAAACTAGCAAGTCAAAGCTGCTGTCCCTTGCAGGTCTTCTTCAGGCCTTTCCAATTCTAAACAATGTCTGGGAAGACCTCACCATAGACTTCATCAAAGGGCTGCCCATCTCCACTAACTGAAATGCCATTATGGTCGTTGTCGATTAACTCATTAAGTCAGCTCATTTTTCTATTCTTTGTCATTACTTCACAACACAAATAGTGGCCGACATCGTCATCTGGGATATCGTTCGTCTACACAGATTTTCAATGTCACTCATGATGGATCATGACTAGATTTTCATGAGTGTCTTCTAACAAGCTCTCTTTCGATAACAAGGGATGACACTCCGGTAAACTAACACATATCACCACAGACTGACAGCTAGTTGAAGTTGGCCAACTATGGGTTTGAAACCTATCTCCCATCTTTCACTAGTGAGTGTCCAAAGTAGTGGTACATGTGGCTTATGTCGACGGAGTTTTGGTATAATATGAACTTCAACTACTCCACGAGGATGATCCCGTTTCATGTGGTCTACGGTCAGCCCCCACCCACCTTGATTTGCTTTACCAGCTAACCCAAGGCGCCTAGAGATCTTGAGCAAATGCAATAAGAATGCGATAACATTCTCACACAACTCAGGCAGAACTTGGAGCACACCCAAGCTCGAATGAAGTGTTTTGCGAACAACAAATGGCAGGAGCTTGAGTTCTAGGTCGGTGAGTGGGTCTACCTTTGCTTGCGGTCTACTATTAGACCACATTCAATGCGATGGCCTTGTGCGGAGCTAGCTCTCCACTTCTCCGGCCCGTTCAAGATCCTCCATTGAATTGGGCCGGTGGTGTATCATCTGGACCTTGCCTCAGCCCAAGTATGTCCAGTGTTCCTTGTATCACAGCTCAGAAGGGTAGAGCAATGAGAGGAGAATTTGACGACATTAGAGCTGCTTGTGGATGGCGACTTGTGCTGGACAGCAAGCTTGAATTAGGTCATGGATGTCCACTATGGTGCTCATGGCCCAAAGGTGCTGCTACAGTGGGATGGATTGCCGCCACGTGGGAACCCACGTGCAATATCCTTCGGCAGTTCCCTAATTTCTACCTTGAGGACAAGGTACATAAATGGGAGGGGGGGAGAGTATTGTTGAGAACATGGCATCCGAAATGGGGCCAAGGAGGAAGCGGTCTCACAGAAACCAGCCCAACCTAGGAATAAAGTCAGGTAGTCCCAGCGCAGAGTGGGGGGCGAAGAGACACTAGAGTTTGACACCATCACAGAAGATGAAGATAATATGACGGATCCTAGAAGGCAAGAGTCACGGGTGGCAGATGAATTTGGCGGCTAACCAGGACAAGTGCAGGACCCAACAATGACATATCACATCAAGTATCATGTTCCATCATATCCAATCACTAGGCTGGTCAGTTTGACGACTAAAGATCAGTTCAAAAAAAGTGGAAAGCAGAGGTTGACATGGAGGGAGGAAGGCTATAAGAGAGCGAGAGCGACCCACACTTGAGGGGAGAGAATTTGTAAGGAACTCTATTCAGAGTTGGAGACTTGTCATCTCGTATTGACAACCCCAAGACCGGGGAGGTCTTGGTTTCTTGGTGTGTTCTCTTTCTGTGTTTTTGGGGTTTTCTCTTTCTGTGTTTTTGGAGTTCACCCCGTTATCCTTCCTTGTTCCCCACCCCTTGTTCAAGCAGAAATTAGTTCTGAATCATGTTGTTTTGAAAGCTATGAGGGTCCAACTTATCGATTGAAGTCAACCAGGGACGTTTGAGTCAGCAAGACTTCATTGGGAGCATGCCGCCGGACGCACAGAAGCAGTCGAAAACCTCCTAGGCGTCGTCTGCTCACTGAGCTCCAATGGCCTGTGGTGAGCAGGAGGCGGCGGCGATGATGAGCCCAGCCAAGAGGGCAGGAAGGCGGAGGATGCTGCCAGATGCACTAATGCGGTCGAAGACCTCCCCGTTATCGTCACCCCGCTGTGCTCTGACGGTGAGTTCGAGCCTGCCCAGCAAGGCCTTCGATCCACTGGCGAAATGGGAACTTCTTGCACCCCCACGAAAGGATCCCAAAAGTGGTAGAGTGGGGGCAGGGCTCCGCATGGCGGTGGTACCGCCACATCCCTCCAGGGAGATGCTGGAAAGAGTTGCTGCTCAGAGGTGAGAGTGAATAGATATAAAATTTTGCGTAGCAGAATTTCCTAAAATTCCTCAAATTTATGAGGGGTAATTTAAATTTTATGTTAGAGAGAGTAGCAAGAAAGAAGGATCAACAAGCCCTATTTGTGATGCTTGGAGCGGTGTTTGAAGACATTCACTCGCAACTTGATATCATCAAAATAGTGAAAGAAATGTGGGAACTCCTCAAGTCAACAAATGTGGGAGTTGCTCGCTTCACGAAATCAAGACTTCAAGGTCTCAGATGAGATTTTGAGATGTTGCAAATGGGAGATGAAGAGACTATCAGATTTCTCTGGAAAATTGTCTCGAGTAGTTACTCAAATTAGAAATTTGAAAGAAAAGATAGAAGAAAGCATTGTTGTCGCAAAACTTCTCAGAGAAATTCCTGCAAAGTTTGACTCCATCACTACCTCTCTTGAACAATTTGGTGATATAGATTCAATGCCTTTTGAAGAAGTAGTGGGATCACTAAAAATCTACAAAGAGAAGCTAAAGACTCGTGAGTAGAGAAAAAATGAATAAGTCCTCTTTTCACATGATATCAAGAAATCAAGAAGAGAACGTAGTTGAGGTACAGGTCATGGCCGAGGTAGAAGAAGAGGCAATGGTAGAAGTGCTGATGAGAACTGAAAACCTCGACACAAATCTAAGGTAAAATGTTATAATTGTGACAAATTGGGACATTATGCTTTTGAATGTTATGTAGAGAAAAAGAGGAGACAGCTCACCTTGCTAATATTGAAGAAAATGTTGAATCCACACTTCTCATAACAGAAATTGATGATTTTTTTCTACAAGGAACACGAAACTCAGGTTGAAGAGGGAATGTGGTACCTAGATACTAATGCCACAAACCACATGACAAGTAGATGAAGCTTGTTTTGTGATCTTGATGATTTACTAGGTGGTGTAGTAAAGTTTGGTGATGAATTCAACATTGACATCTTTGGCAGATGAAGTATTTTTGTGAATTGCTAGGATAGAAGTAAATTGAAGCTTAGTAGTGTCCTATACACCCCTAGACTCAAGACCAACATTCTCAATCTCGGTTGTCTAGATGATCAATGATTCAAGATAGTGTTGGGATCTGGTTCCCTTACTATCTATTATCAGTACAAAAGACTTATTAAAAGGTGAAGAAGACAAATGAAAGACTATATTTACTACATTTATAAATTAAAAAATAGTCTTATTTCAAAAGGGTGCCATGAAGTAGATTGGAGATGGCATAGAAGGTATGGACACTTATATTTCTATTCATTGAAAAATCTCGCCTCTCGAAACATGGTGAAAGGATTGCCTATAATGAACATCTTTGATAATCTCTATCGAGACTATGTTGCTAGTAAGCAACACAAAAGCCCATTCCCATCCTCTTTTGAATTCAGAGCTAGTACAGCACACTTGACCTTATTCATGAAGACATCTGTAGGCCCATCTCTCTTACTACTTATGGAGGATACATGTACTTTTTGTGGATGACTACTCAAGGCTGATGTGGGTTGCAATGTTGAGGTAGAAAAATGAAACTTTTCAAGCATTTATGAAGTTCAAGATAATGACTAATCTAGAGAAAGGTGAAAAGGTAGGAATTCTAAGAATTGATCAAGGGGGAGAATTCACTTATGCTGAGTTTTCTTTCTTCTACATTCAACATGGAGTCATATGACAACTCTCTGCCCCTTATTCATCTCAACAAAATAGCATTGTAGAAAGGAGGAACATAACATTCATGGAGATGGTTCGAAATATGTTGAAAGAAAAAAACTTATATCCTGAACTTTGGGGTGAAGCTGTGAGCATGTGTCTACATCTTGAATCGATCTCCCACTAAGAGCCTAGATGGAGCTACATCGTATGAAGCTTAGACCAGTTCAAAGTCAAATGTAGCTCATCTTGTAGTGTTTGGCTCACTGGCCCATGTGAGGACACTCGGACAATGACTGATGAAACTACAAGATAGAGGTAAACCTATGCTCTTCATAGGCTATAAAGTTACCACGGAGGATTATATGTGCTATAATCCACAAGAAGACAAATTTCACATCAATAGAGATATAATTTTCGAAGAAGATAGCAAGTGGGACTAGAATCACACTAATTAAATAAGTAGAGGTACATTATGTTTTTCATCTTTTATTGATTCAACTAACATAGGAGAAACTTAGGTTGATCATATTGACTATGAAGCAAGACCCAAAAATTCCCCTAATTATGAACAAGATAGATCTTTATTCATAGAGGACTGTTCTAGAAGATATAAGGACATAGACCATCTATAGAGAGATTGAAGGGTGCCACTTAATGCCTGAGGAGCCCACCTCATATCGAGAAGTAGTGGCACAAGAGGTATGGAAAAAAGTTATGGAGGAAGAAATTGAAGCAATAAAGAAAAATAACACATGGAGTCTCATCCAAACACTGAAGGGATACAAGCCCATTGGCCTAAAATGGATATTCAAGGTGAAGCAAAGTTCTCAAAGAAAAATTATCCGACACAAGGCTCATTTAGTTGCAAAGGGATATGTTCAACAATAAGAGTAATAATTGCTCTTGCTACTCAAAATAGATGGAAACTTCATCCTTTAGACGTGAAGTCAGCTTTTCTAAATGATGAAGTGGAAGAAGAGGTGTTTGCAAAACAATCAGAAGGTTTCATCCAAAAAGTAAGCATAATTATGTTTTAAAGCAAAAAAAGATACTTTATGGCTTGAAACAATCTCCTCGGGACTAGTATACAAAGTTAGATAAAAGTCTTACCTCACTTAGTTTTATTAGAAGCTCATATGAACATGCATTCTATACAAAGTCATTAGATGAAGCGCATCTAGTAATCAAAGTCTATGGATGACCTCATAATAGTTAGAATAAATGAAAAGGTATTTCAAATATCAAGTAACGAATGATGAAACATTTTGAGATGAGTGATATGGGCTTACTCACCTCGTACTTGGAAAGTGAAGTGGAACAACATGGAGATGTGATCAAGCTGAAGTAGAGGAGTTATGCTCTATGATTACTTGAATAGAGTAGAATGTAAGATTACAATTCAGTTTCCACACTATTAGAAGCTTGGTTCAAGTTCAATGAAGATTGTAAGAATCCATCAGCTGATTCTACTAAGTTTAGGAGCATAATTGAGAGCCCTAGGTACCTAATCCACACTTGGCCTGATTTGACTTATTTAGCGGGTTATCTTAGTAGGTATATTGAAGTACCTACATTAGAGCACATGACAGCATTGAAGCAAATTCTTCGGTATGTTAAAGGTACTATAAATTATGGCCTGATCTACAAGAGGGAAGCCAATTTCACTTACATCAAGATATAGTGATAGTGATCATGCTGGAGACCCAATTTATCCAAAAAAAGCACAACCAGAGTTTTGTTCTTCCTCAGATCAAATCTAATAAGTTGGACTTCACAAAAATAGAAGATAACTGCACTATCCTCATACAAGGTAGAATATGTAGTTGCCATTGTCACAGCCTGCCAAGGAATTTGGCTAGCAAGGGTCATCATTGAATTGAAGATGGAGAAACCCACTTAGGTAAAACTATTTATTGACAATAAATCAATAATTACATTACCAAAAAACTCAATTTACCATTGTAGATCAAAGCACATCGATACATGGTATTACTTCATTCGATCCTACCTCAAAGAGAAAGATTGAAGTGGAGCATATTAGTACTAGTGATCAGTTAGTGATATACTCACGAAGGCATTGGGAAGAACTTGATTTGGCAAACTGCATAAAAAATTGAGCATGACAAAGGGTGATGGAATTATTGAGCTTAGAGGGGAGATTGAAGGCATTAAGCTCAATCAATGAATGTGTCTGTGAAGATTGTTGGAGTTGGTGAAAACTCCATTGAGTTATAATGGCTAGATTAGGAGTTACATGGGAATGTGGGTTCCATGGATCATAACTATCTCTAGAAAATGTCACACACACTCTCTCTCTCTCCTATAAATGTACTTATTGTGTTCGATGAAAGTAGAGGAGAAAGAGAGGATTTATGTTGTGTTCTTGAAATTCTAGTTTCGATTCTTCTTCTTATCTCACATGCTCCTCAAGCAAGTTTTTTTAGTCCCAACATTGGGCTTGTGCGGGGATACCAATAGGCTGCCACCAAAGCCCATCTTGAGCACCACCCCTTTCCCTGCAGACACTTCTGGGCTTCTTCATCGGGGCTGCATTTCAAATTCAATCTAGCTGCAAGGCTCGTCATGGGCTTATACTAGTAATCTAGCTCGTTGTCGAAGTAAACTTGCCCCCAAAACTTACCTTCTTTAGTTGAACTAGGGAATTTAAAGATCGGATTTGAGCTCCTGATCAAACCCACAAGACCTTATGTTTGAGTTGGAGTGTCAATTGCCTTATTATTCTTAAAGATGATAAGTGATAAGTCTTCATTATCATGAGTTAATAATTAATAAATAATATATTTTTAACCTTAAATTATGATAAATAGACTTATATTTATGTTAATTTGTGAAAAGTGGTTTTTAGTTGGTTAATGTGATTTTTTGACTAATTATGTGATTTTATACAAGTTTATATGATTTTTATAATCCTATTTTTGAGATAAATGAAAATAAAATAAAATAAAAAAATAGAAAAAAGAGGGGACATGCTGGCCAATTGGGCTTGCAAGCAGGTTGGAAGTACAATTGGGGTGGAGCCGTGAACAAGGGCTCAAATGGCTATGGACTGATGTGGGCACATGTGCACCACTCCCCTTACACGTCACCAGTGGCCAACTAGTTGTGAGGCAAGGAGTGGTCACACACACAAGTAAGGGACTCAATTGATTCTCAAATCTCACGTTACCATATATGTATCTTAAGATTTGGCATATAACTGATGTTGTACTAAATCGGTGGTCACACCTTCCCTAGAATATTTCCAAAGATTTTAATACCTAAAATATTCTTTATTTATAATAGCGAGGTATCATGATAACATCACTAAATAAAGATATTTAAGAACTTACTCTTTCTCTCTCATGCAAGCAAACAACCGATGTGGGTTTGAATCTTACTAGAGCCAAAAACTTGTATCTTTATTTGATTAAATTGTGACTTTTCTACAGATTGTTGGTGAAAGATTAAGCTACTAGAATCACTTGATCATTAGTACAAATCTCGTCAATGCGATTTACAGAGTATTATTACTCAAATTGTTGAACGATTTACGATAAAAAGATCATAAATCTATCGAGTAAATTATCTCTGATTTATTGACGAATAAGTCATCATTGAGAAGATGATGATCCATCAGAAGATGAGTCGCCACCTCTTGAGAGTATACTAGATGCAATAAGAGCCTTCTCTTATTATGCATACCTGAAGATAAAATTCTCTAACACATATCTCCACCTCTATCTAACTCTTTTATGTCAGGTGACAGTTGTTAGAGAGCTACAAAGTTACTATTTTTCTATTCTACTAGGTGATAGTCACCGAAAATGATTCGATGACTCATTTTATTGATCTCTAGA